GGTTCACAAACCTGGCATGTAACGAAAAGCATTTCCAACAAACTACAGACATTCATCAACAGATGCTACCTACACTCACTCGATACTGAAAGTTGGTGAGATGACGAGAATAATGAGAATAAGCAAGAAGGAACTCTAGCTGGCTGACTGGCTGGCAACGAACCAAGTAAGAACCCATCAGCCAACAAACATGCAGAAGAAAGTGGAGATGGATTGGATTGGACATACACTGAGATAACCATGGTATTATCTTTGAACAATGATACATACCGTTTCATTCAAATTCGTTGTTAAAACTGTTCACTCATCATAAACTGATGTAATTTGGAGAATCATTGAAAAGTGAATTCATTGACCAAATGGTTAATGCATTCTCTGTGAATTTTGAAAGTTTTGAGTTCAATCCCTAGCCAGTCCAATGGGATGTACTACTGAGAAGTCCTTCACTCGGAAGAAACATCTATCCAGTGTTCTATGGTTTTCAATGCTTATATAACTGACATTAGTCTGTGATGAATATCACCTCAAAATTAAAATCCCCATCAACTTCAAATACAGCGGCATCTGAATATTAATGTATTTGAAGAGAACTCAATTTAGGTCTTATTTTATTTTACTCTTGTAATTAGAATACAAGTGATTTACTGATAAAACATATTACTCAGAAATAAAATTTTGAATGAATAGAATACACAGGATCTTTCGTCTTAGTTTATAGTCTGTAAAATCATTTTCTTTACGGATTGAACCTTACTTTTGTCGATTAGCACTAGTATTTCAAATAGTTAGCTTGTCATTTTATTTGCTTCGTGATACTTCCATTACCTTACTCAATACCTGCATTTTATATGAACCAAGCTTACTTGTCATTGTGATCGCCTATTTATAGCTTATGTGTCAAGAAAGTTAAATGTTGAGTGATTGAAAACAGATGATCTGCAGTCATTTTTATTAAAATGTTACATATACACTCACAGAAATTCTTTCTAGTGACACTGCCCATGATCTCACTGTAGATATTGGAATGCTTAGTGTATAACTCTAAGTTTGATTATGTTTCAAGATATTACTAGTTACTTGGCTGCATTGATTTTGTGTACACCTACCTAGGCTGCATCGTTTCAACTACAGGCGGCACAAGCACAGATGAGGATGTCTAAACCAGGATCGAAAAAGACAGCAAAATAGGCGTTCATTAACCTTAAATCAGTGTGGAGATCTACTGCACTCAACACAAAGCGTGAACAACATCCGAATTTTCAACACCAATTCAGTCAAGTCAGTGTTACTATGTGATGGTTCACAAACCTGGCATGTAACGAAAAGCATTTCCAACAAACTACAGACATTCATCAATAGATGCCACCTACACTCACTCGATACTGAAAGTTGGTGAGATGACGAGAATAATGAGAATAAGCAAGAAGGAACTCTGGCTGGCTGGCTGGCTGGCTGGCTGGCTGGCTGGCTGGCTGGCTGGCTGGCTGGCTGGCTGGCTGGCTGGCTGGCTGGCTGGCTGGCTGGCTGGCTGGCTGGCTGGCTGGCTGGCTGGCTGGCTGGCTGGCTGGCTGGCTGGCTGGCTGGCTGGCTGGCTGGCTGGCTGGCTGGCTGGCTGGCTGGCTGGCTGGCTGGCTGGCTGGCTGGCTGGCTGGCTGGCTGGCAACGAACCAAGCAAGAACCCATCAACCAACAAATATGCAGAATGAGGAGGTGGAGATGGATTGGATTGGACATACACTGAGAAGGCCGATGGGGAACTTCACGCGCCGGACCAGGTCGTCGAGTGAAACCCAGACGGGAAACGACAAGTTGGGTGTGTGAGGTGAGGGTGACATGGAGGAGATGGTGTGAGGGAGAAATGAAAGCTTGTGGGCAGTCGTGGAGTGAGGTTGAAAAGACTGGAGAGAAGAGAGTGGAATGGAGACGTGCTACTGAAGTCTTATGTTCCACTAGGAACCCTAGGGGAAAAAGATAATAAATTTCTCATTCATATCATTTCTTTCTACCAATTTCTATCAGACAACTCTCTATCATCTTGTTACTTACACAGATTTTGAAAGTTCTTTCAAACAGAATTTTGGAAAATTGGATGGATAGTCATAAAGTACAGTTGAGCTAAGTGAAAATTAAGCGCCTAGTTATCAGTACAACTTACCATTTCGCATTTAGCATAAATCTGGTAGTTTATCTTTAGGAGACAAAGTCAATGAGTTTGCAGTCTCAATCTTCAGTGAAATGAACCTTCATGAAGTAAATAATTAATCACATATGAATTCGTAGTTGTTAGTGTTGAATAAGATATAAAGATGAAATTATTGAATGAAAGTAGTCAATTTGTTGTCTAAAATGAACATTTCATTATGTTTGTCTGAAATATTTATGGAGTTGCGCTGTGAAGTTCTCTTTTCAGTAACGAGAGTGTAAATATGGCTTGACATTGACCATTTGCCATCTCACTTCATAGTGTCAAGAATATGATAAGATTATTATGACATAATGTTAGACTTCATTGTAAAAATTATCCTCGAGTTATACTTGGTTACATCTAGTATTGGACTTCTCAGCAGTGTGCACCCACGACTGCCAAAGGGTGAAGACAGGGGAAGAGGATGAAAATTGAATTTATCTTTGAAACAATGAATCCCTTTAATAAATTTCGATAACGCTATTAGAAGATGAAGATTATCTGAACAACATGTGATGGTCATGAGGACAGTTACTCAACAATAACATTGGGTGGCGGTTGCGCTATATCATGAGCTAACAGAAGTTGGATTCTGACCCAGTGTCTCAATGGTAACGTACTGGCCATGGAACGTGAAGGTCGCGAGCTCGATCGCTGGCGGGGTCGTGAGTGAGCACTGCTGAGGAGTCACATACTAGGATGGGACAGCTGTCCAGTGCTCCCAGGTTTCCTTTGTTCCTCCAAGTGGTGTCAGTCTACGATGAATAACAACTTGAAATATTTCTAAATCCTCAAAACTTATGAAGTTTCATATTCTATAAAATTATGGTTACTTTATAAAAATAAAATGTAGTGTAAAAATTTAATTATTGATTAGTTTATGTAGTGAATGCATTGGGGGTTTTCCGCATATTTTTATATAAATGTACATTTCGATATTATGCACATGTTGTTCACATTTCAAAATCTAAAATAAGAAATGAAGATCACGGTATTTTTCAACAATTATCCAAGTTTATTAATTTTCGCTGTTTGCTGATATGCTTTGTAATACTTCATTGTTTTACTGAATCAAATTGTTCTACCTCCGTTGGCATATAACCTTCTATACGGATGCCCCGATATTGCTTTAATATTTACTAATGTAATTTACTTGCTTGTGGCTAGCAGAAGAATCCAGGACATGCGTTTCATCAGTCAAACAATTCGATCCAGTAAAACAACGTAAATTACAAGCACATCAGTAAGTAGTAATAATTAATACTCGTTGTACAAGAGGTGGCTATTATACCTCAGTGGTGTTTAAAATGATGGGTATGAGGTTCAAGTTTCAGGGAGAACATAAATACTCACTGTAGTGCATGTATATCCAGCTGATGAGTCCGAAATTGGATGAGACGCACATCTTAAATTCCTTTGCTAGCCTCAACCAAGTAAACTTATCACTTTTGTTCATCTATTCCTCAAGTGACTTTATTATCTTTGATAAGTCCTACATATTTTATAGGATCACGTAAGATCTCATAGTTCTTGCTTCAAAATTAAGGCTGGGAATTCGGTATTGTTTGAGAGGACTCAATGAAAATATGTTTGCTTACAGACTCCATTTTAAACTATATCACTCTTTAACTATTATCATATTTTAGAGTTGATGCTTTTTTGATAGCATTACTACTAGAGCAATCTAAAGCCTTTGTCAAACTTCGGTTGACGATTTGTTATAATTGTAAAGCGAAATAAACAAACAAATACTTAAGATTTCCTTTGTGAATAATATACATTTCAACCGTGAAACTATAAGGATCACTTTTTATTATTTTCCTGAACAGAAAATCTTGTAGTGAATATCAGGTAGAAGTAGAATTTTACAGGGAAGTATGTATTATGCCTATCACCTTATTGTATTCTATACTGTTCAAAGAAGCAACCAATTGGAGCGTAAAAACTTCAGTCATTAATACACAACAGACGTTCAAAATATGCAACATTACTCTAAATCGATATATATATATATATATATATATATATATATCCCCTATAACATCATCTTTTATACTGACACATATATTGAGAATCCTTTAGACAATGCAAAACACTCAATATGTGATGCTTCTTGTTTGAAAACTTGTGACTGACAACAGGATAATCGAATTTACGATCTAACATAAATTTATTATTTCATATCTCACTGAAAGGTGAACATTACGATGAAACAATTTTTACCGAGTTCGAGGCAGCTATCTTCCTTCAATTGATTGTCTGATGTACGTATATTGAATAAATTCAACTTCAACTTCAAAAGAGAAGCATTCGACTATGAAGTTTAGCGAGAGGATTCAACAATTATCCTTTAATTAACCTTCAAGAAGGATATAAGAGTTTAATTCAATATTTTCATATTTATACTTCTGATAAACTATTCGTTTTTGTGTAAAATAGCCCAAATTATTATTTCTGATTAAACTCCTTCATATTGGATCGTGGCTAGCAGTGGAATCCAGGATGCATATTTCGTCCTATTTGGGACTCGTCAGCTGGATATACTTGCCTCCCAGTGAGTGATGTTCTTCCCACCGGGACTCGGACTCAGGAGCGACCGCTTTAAATGCAAGAGCAATTAGAAATCGGAATTTTTGTAGTGTTTACTGATAGTATGCTGATGACATCTATGAAATTTTAGCCTGAAACCTGTTAAATAAGAAATTATATGTTGTACATTTATCAAGAAATTAATGTAAATATGCTTTGCACAAAAAATAATTCGAAATATTACATTTTCTTATTGATAATAAACTTGATTTTTTTTTTCATTTAGTGGAAATTATGATATCCTTATAAATGATGAAGTGATCGGGAGTTATGCTGGATCTGGATCATTTGGAGAGTTAGCACTTATGTACAATACACCTCGAGCAGCTACAATTATTGCAAAAACAGATGGTGTACTATGGTCTGTGGATCGAGCAACATTTCAACACATAGTACTTAGACAAGCTTTCCTTAAACGACAACTTTATGAAACCTGGTTATCTTCTGTTCCACTTTTAAGAAGTTTAAGTGTATATGAACGTGGAAATTTAGCTGATGCCTTAGGAAGTCATACTTATGAAGATGGTGCATGGATTATTCAAGAAGGTGAACCAGGTGAAGAAATGTATTTCATTGAAGAAGGATGTGTAGAAATATCTGCTAAGAATTGTGTAAGAAACGCTTTTTTACATGTATCTTTATGACTACATTTCTTGATTTATATAAAATGATTGGATATATTATTCACTAAATATATACCTTTCAAGTTAGAGTACAATTCATTGATTGAAATATTTTTGTTAAGTTTTATCCATTATAACCAGCTTAGTAACTTTATTGTATCAGTTACGTAATATACAATACAATAGCTTAACTGTGAAAGTGATACATAAATCATTGAATAAACTAGCTTCTATATGACTTCATTGTGGTATTGCAAAAGTTAGCATCCTAAATACCAGTATAAATAACTCAAATGTGGATAACTTAATCATGGAATGACAACAAATAGGCGAGTCAGTAAACTTCTGGAAGCACTTAACAGCTATTTTCTTCTAGTTTGACGAAAGTAAAAAAAAATGGATTATTGGAACCTCTACCATTGCCTAAAGGGTTAAAAGCAAAGTTTGTTACGAAGGAACTCCTCAAAAGAGCCTGAAATTCCCTGAAGAGCCTTGAAAACAGTCATAACATGATGAGAATATTCAAGAAAATCAACATGGTTATATATGAGTTTCGAATTAACTAAATAGTTTCCTGGAAAAGTGCAGAATTTGTCAAGGCCATTTAAAACATATATATATATATATATATATATATATATATCAACCATCACTTTTCGCAACATGTTCAGTATGTTGACAATAGATCTTTTATGGTTGTTACCTCTTCTATCTGTTTTGAAGTAATCGAGCGAGGAAATATCAAAAAAGGTTTTAATTCATCAAGACCAGACATCATTTTGAGGTATATTGGAAATCTGAAAGTATTGGACAACTGTTTCTTCCTACTCATCAACATTGCACATCCATAACCCCATCAGGTCTATAGGCAAAAACTAACAAGTTGACAGAAGGGGCATCATCAACGGGAGAAACTTGAATGAAGTAGACTCTTTCACCTATCTTGGCAGCATCGTTTCAACTGTAGGTGGCGGCACAGACGAGGACGTCAAAGCCAGTCAGGATCGGAAAGCCAGCATGACAGGTGTTCATCAACCTGAAACCAGTGTGGAAATCTGCCTCACTGCACTCAGCATAAAGCGTGAACAACATCCGGATTTTCAACACTAATCTAGTCAAGTCAGTGCATCTATGTGATGGTTGAGAGAGTTGGCGCGTTGTGGAAAGCACTTCTAACAAACTAAAGATATTCATCAACAACTGTCTACGCTGGCTGGTTACTGAAGCTCAGATGGATAGAAAGAACAAGCAACAAGGAACTCACTCTGGCTGGGAACGAACCAACCAAGAACCTATCACTGAACAAATACGCATTGGAAGGAAGTGTAGATGGATTGGGTATGCAGTGGCAATGCCGATTGTGGACATCACGCTCCAGGCAGTGAGAGGAACTCATATGGGAATGACAAGTTGGGTGTGTGAGGTGAGGGTGACATGTAGGAGATGGTGTGAGGAAGAAATGAGAGCTTGTGGGAGTGTTGGAGGCAGTACACTCGAGACGTGCTACGGAATCCCTATGTTGTACTAGGAACCCAAGGACGAAATAATAATATAATGATAATATAAACCCCGTCACGGCTCGAACTAAGGACCTTCGGGTTCCATGACTAGCAAGTTATCATTGACTTTATTAAATATATAAATAAAACATTTTAGAAAAAATTTTCTGATAAATAATAATGCAATAATTGTATATAATTGCAAATTAACTTTGTTAGAAAAAATATCATGTGAGTTTACGTTAAGTTGAATGAAGTTTTTTGTTATTGAAAGTTGATTAGTTGTTAAAACTAAAGTTTTCCTCCTACAAATTAACGGAATAACTAAATTGCATGAAATATTGATGAAACAGTTATAATGTCACATTTTTTTCTCTCTCATATCTTCATTTATATCCTGAGATATATGAGTTTTATCAATAAGTTTAATGCAGTAATAAAGCGGAAACTGGAAAATTAAAATGTGATGAACTTTTTCAATAGAGAAAAAACAAACAATATTGGCATTATTATAATCAGATTAGTGTTATGCAATAGTCAAATGAATAGAATTTTGATATTTATAAGATTCTATCTGTTAAGATTGATACACATATGAAGGATATGAATTGACAAAGAATATGGTAGTGAACTATTACCATTAACGAGAGAAACTTAAAAGAAGTAGTCTCTTTCATTTACCTATCTACCTAGGCAGCATCATTTCAACTACAAGCGGCACAAGCACAGATGAGGATGTCAAAACCAGGATCGAAAAAGACAGCAAAATAGGCGTTCATTAACCTTAAATCAAAGTGGAGATCGATTGCACTCAACACAAAGCGTGAACAACATCCGAATTTTCAACACCAATTCAGTCAAGTCAGTGTTACTATGTGATGGTTCACAACCTGGCATGTAACGAAAAGCATTTCCAACAAACTACAGACATTCATCAATAGATGCTACCTACACTCACTCGATACTGAAAGTTGGTGAGATGACGAGAATAATGAGAATAAGCAAGAAGGAACTCTGGCTGGCTGACTGGCTGGCAACGAACCAAGCAAGAACCCATCAGCCAACAAATATGCAGAATGAGAAGGTGGAGATGGATTGGATTGGACATACACTGAGAAGGCCGATGGGGAACTTCACGCGCCGGTCCAGGTCGTCGAGTGAAACCCAGACGGGAAACGACAAGTTGGGTGTCTGATGTGAGGGTGACATGGAGGAGATGATGCGAGGGAGAAACGAAAGCTTGTGGGCAGTCGTGGAGTGAGGTTGAAAAGACTGGAGAGAAGAGAGTGGAATGGAGACGTGCTACTGACTCCCTATGTTCCATTAGGAACCCAAGGGACAAATAATAATAATATCGAAATTTCGCTTGTCAGTTTGTCAAGGTTAAACAGCTGAGGAAGTTAATTTAGAACGATACAACCTTATTATATAATGACCCTGAACAATTTTACACGTTATGTTGTAATATATGTATATGTATATATATATTTTTCTAATTATCCAGAAAGGAGAAGAAGTTGTACTTAAACAGTTGCATAAAAACGACTATTTTGGTGGTAAGTACTATTTTGTACAACATAGTAATGTGTATTATAAGTTAATCAACTTTTTAAAACAATTACTTCCTTTTATAAACTTCGACAAAACAATAAGAAGACATAAATTGTCTGAACCGTGTAATGTATTTTTGCGCAACACACGTATGTGTCATATGCATTTATATAAAAACTCATAAAGAGAAGGGGTGAGAGTATGAAAAGAGGTCAAGTAGGCAGGTTGAATTAAAGGCTGAATATCAATGAGAATCAATAGAGCGGAAGAATAATAGTACATCGAACTTGGTTTTCAATAGTTGAATTTACTAAGGAAGATTTAATATGACAACAAATTGTTTATGAACACATAAAGGTAGTTTCAACTTCCTAGTAGCTAAGGCTTCAACAAATTTTAGGATGCCTCCCCAACATGTTTTGTAAATAGGTGTAAAGGAACTAGCTACATCAATCCTGTGGCCTGTCTCGACGATATGTTTAGTGATCAAAGAACTTGGACGTCTGCTACCAATATTTATGGTTCCAGGTGATTTAATTTGCTTCTGAGGCCACTTTGGAATATGTTCCGAAGCCCTTACATGCATGGATCTATTATTCCCTTCTATGTATGTGTCACCACAGGTACATTTGAATTGGTACATACAATAGGATGTGATATTGTTGTTCACATGCTGTGGCGCTTTAGGGGAATATACGCGCTTCGTTATTTCTGCATAGTAAGTTGTTCTAACAGCAGCGTTAAGTTTCTGCTTAAGGATTGCACTACGAGAGTCACCTTTATACAGAAGGCTGATGAAGACATCCTTCTTTGGGACAGACTGAAAGTCTAGTTTTGGCGCTCTGATAATTTTGTTCTGCTTGATAAATATTGATGGACAGAATATCAGTCAGTGTTCTTCTTTCGTCTTCTAAAATATCCTCTGTGCATAGTCGTTGAATTCAACTATATAACAACTGTCAGTTATAAAATATAATATATTTCACATAATATTTGTAAGCTTATTTACAATATTCGTTATGTCTTTGTAGTGTTTTTAAGTTAGGTCACCAGTTTTAAATGTGAAAATTATGATTAATAATCTATTTTAACAGCATTTTGATGAGCATATCCTTTGTAATGAAAATAATGAATACTTAATCTCAACTTCTAATACAAGTAAACCATGCAGATAATTTTATCGATAGTTTAAGAGATGTTATCTTGGCTATCAGCCAAAAATGTCGGCTTTTTAATTCAATATATATATCACCTTCCAGTTTACTAAGTTGTTATAAAATCGAATCGAGTTGAATTAAATGCATCACTGCAACACTCTAAGATATGTAAAAGTTCATCTGAGACATTGGAAATAAGAACCTTAAGTTAAGAAGAGGTAGCAGAACCATTGCATTGCTTGAAAATAATTAAACTATGGTACTTATCGTAATGATGGATACTGGCTAGCAGTAGAATTCAGGATGTGTATTTCGTCTTTTTTGGGACTTGTCAGCTGGATATACCACTAAGCCATGATAGCCACTTGTTGTGCGACGGGTATCGTTTTAGTATTATGGTTTGTATTATACCATCGGTCCATTCAACGACATAACTGGATGGCGTAGTGGATAACGCTTTGTTGTTTGAAGCGATCGGTCTCGAGTTCGAATCCCAGTGGGAACAAAATCACTTACTGGGAGGCAGGTACATCCAGCTGACGAGGTCCAAATAGGATAAAATAAGCATTCTGAATTCCACTGCTAGCCACTATCCATCATTACTATATAATTAAGAACAAAAGCAATAATACTATGGTACTTATCGCCTAGAACATTTTCATAACTTAAAAATATGAAATATCTCAGTGGTTAAACTTACTACAAATTTAGAAATTACTTCTCTGTTGTTATACATCAGGTACAGTACAAATAAATGAAATAAAATTATATTTGTGAAAGTTAATTTAAACAGGAAGTAATAAAATCTATTTTCATAACCTTTTAACATGAAGTGCTTGAATTAGTTAACAAGATCATACAGTTTAGATAATTAGATAGGATGTCGTAGTTTCTGAAGGTTATATCCAACTACTGACCTCTTAGTTTTTAATTTATAGTGACTCATTTTGTTTATTCTACAGTAAGTGAAAATAATTCACGCCTTAGAAACTAGTGAAATCGAATAAATCACTTGTGTATGTATTACAGTGATAAATGAGATCTTTATCAGTATATAAGTATCCCAAAATTATTTAACAGTATGACACAGCATGATAGAGTTTACTACATTATAATCTTGCATAGTCATCTACTTTGAGACCAGTTGCTTGACGATTATTTCAAATGTAACAGTTCGTTAGATGGCGTACATAGCTATAAGTGAAAAGTTAACATAGTACCGGTGCTTATGACACTGTATTGCACTTTAAATTTTACTAGTCGAATATTACCAGTCTTTACGCGTTCACCATCTACTTGTCCTGGTATTCGTCACTGAGCATACGTACCAATTCAAAAAGCCTATGAATATTCAAAGAATTGCAGATAGAAAGCAAAAGCAGAAACGAAGAATGTTCATCTCAATACAAGTTCTATTCAGGCTCTACAATTACAAAATACGATTTGTACAGCATGAAGTCAAGCCATGTTACAAGAAGACACATTTCAAAATTTCAGTGTGATTTAGGGATTGTAAAGAAATCCATCCTTCCCTTTTGTTTATCATCGCTGACTACAATACTGGATGACATGAATTCAAATCTCACAGTAGACATTAGTTCCCTCAAGGTTGTAGATACCCCTTAGTGACGAGTGTCAACAAGTGAAAAACCAAGATCAAGCGCAGTTTCCTCCCCCTCGATTGCCTCTATCCAACTAACATTTCATACAGTCTCCAGTAGAACGCTATTAATTTATGTAGAGTTCAGGTTTGATCAGTTGAGCAGATGTTCAAGAGCCTGATGTGGAATGGTTTCTGGAATATGCAAGCGTACAATCAGGCAGATACGTCTCCCTGTATGAGAGCATTTACAAACTTGCTTCAAGACAAAGGACAAAGTGAAAGTGGTGAAAAGTTCAGTCCT